CCAGAAGTCTAAGATCTATGAGTGAGTGACGCCACATGGTACCATCACAGAGAGGCACACTTTCCAGAACTTTTTCGTTCACCGTTCCGGGCTGGTGGAATGAATTTCCCACCCCTATCCGGAATGCTGAATCCCTGACAATTTTCAAGCGACACCTGAATACTAATGTCTTTCATCACCATTTGAAAAAAACTTTGCCTTCTCTTTCCTTAATCCCTGTCTATCTTGTACTAATCTGAACAATGCCTGAAACTTTGTATTGCAAGCACTTCCTGCATTTATTTGCCTCTTTATGATGAATCGCTTATTGTATTCCTCAATTGTAAGTCGCTTTGGATAACAGCGTCTGCTAAATGAATAAATGAAAATGTAAATGAATTATCTACTCCAAATGTTATTTTCGCAAGTGATTCTTGAATGTCAATATCGTGACTTCTTTTGACAATGAAAACTACTGGAAAATGTTAAGAAGTTTGTAACAAGACACAGCCTTTGAAGCTGAGATAGAAGATAGTATTTATTTTAAACTAATTAGCATTATTATTATTATATATTACATATTATTATTATTATAAATAACATTAGTATTATTATTACTATTAATACTATTATTATTTACAATATCTAACGTGTTGTTTAGCAAATGAGAGTTGTGTGTTTGCGTATGTGTGCGCATTTCAAGGCCTTGTGTGTACAATTTGTTTGATTTTTTTCAACGGCTAAGCATTTGGATTTGGAACCATTGAGCGTTTATTATCTTCATTTTGTACTGTGTAGACGGCCCCCATCCTGCGCCATTACATGATAAAATCTATGAGCTGCTATACATTGATGTAGAATAAGACACACACACACACCACAGTGTGTTCTCTTCTACATTTTAAAACAATTCAAACAAAACACTTTTTTTTGCCATTATTCTATACTGTTAATGATCTATTGAAGTTTTTCGAGGCTGAATATCTGTCTAATACCCCACATCAAACTTCAAACTTTGTATCAGTCACAGGACGTCCTCTTTGTTGACCGAATCAACATGATGTCATGTATTTTCAGGTCGAACATAGTGCTCAATTCTATTAAGAATACTGCACATGCTTACGCCATTGCTGTCATGGAACAATGTAGATACAACATAGATTTGTATTTGTTCTCTTTTTTATGAGATATTTAAGCAGGAAAATGTGACTATATATGTGTGACCCTGGACCACAAAACCAGTCATAAGGGTCAATTTTTCGAAATTGAGATTTATACATAATGTGAAAGCTGAATAAATAAGCTTTCCATTGATATATGGTTTGTTAGGATAGGACAATATTTGGCCGAGATACAACTATTTGAAAATCTGGAATCTGAGGGTGCAAAAAAATCTAAATATTGAGAAAATCATCTTTAAAGTTGTCCAAATGAAGTTCTTAGCAATGCATATTACTAATCAAAAATAAAGTTT